GATGATGATGATGATGATGATGATGATGATGATGATGATGATGATGATCCGAGACCCTCCCCACGTGTGTGGATGAGATCCACAAGCGAGACCCAGCCAGCGGGCGAGAAAGGGGTCCTCCCAACCAGAATCGGAGCTCCCCCGCAAGCCCTTCTCAAAGAGCTCCCGAGCTCCGAGGCAATGGGAGACCCCGAAACATGGAGCCCCTTTGCATGTCTTATGTCCAGTTGGGTGCATTAGGGAGACCTCCCAGATCGAGTTCGTGGAAGAAGAAGAATATACGTTTTAAACCCCATGAGTTGGGGTTCTCCCCGAACCCACAGACATACACACACACCTTGGTGGTGTGTGCTCCCCGCTGCTCTGTGCGAGGTTGGCACATCGATCCGGAGGTAAGCTATGACAACCAGCCCCTCCTCGAGCAACCGGTGCTGGATCCCTGTGCTCGGTGCCTCACCTCCGGAGGCCGACTGCGTTGCTGGAAGAAAGGGAGAGGAAGAGGAGACGAAGTGAGAGGGCGCACCCCATATGTGGCTGGTACGGCTTTTGGGGATTTTTTAGGATACTTAGTATGGGATTCGGAGTCATATCATACAAGGTAGCAAATGGTAGCTAAGGTAGGAAGGATGGGTTGCTTTTCTAAGGGTGTTCGATTCCCTTGATCGGTTTATCGCGATGTGTTCATAAAGCTGAGGGAGGTCTCAAAGTGTTGCATGGGTGTATGAAATTGACACGAATACTGCAAAGCAAGTTTTGCTGGCAAACAGCAACGCAGTTGTCAGATCCCATTGTTGTCCGTGAAAGACTGTGAACATGATTAACAAGCGATTTCTTCGTTCTCCTTTCATATTCCCATTCTCGTTGACGCATGTTTCAAGGAGCAAGTTGAAAGCTTGGTGTCTAGTCAAGTCTAGTCCTTCTGGCTGAGAATCTGTGCTGAGCATGTATTCATTTAATTTCTCCACCTTTGGATGATTGACCCAAAACCAATTACAATATTGTTTGTGGCATATTGTGGCATCATCAATGGTTACATGGTCGACAAGTGGAGGAGGGATGTTTGAATCAGTTCTCCTGTGAGGTCTAGGCCCCAGCACTCATGCAGGGAGTATGCTACCCTATGTTACACATCCAATCCCATCTTCTTTCGCCTGTCCATCTTCGACCTCGGGTCTGGAACAGGTGTCGAGGTCTGGAACAAGCGTGGGGAGAACATCAAGTACGCCCCCTTGTCCGTGGTGCCCGACTTCCGTGCGCTGGATTGCTTTGATTGGCAAGGTGCACAGCGACCACCATCCTTTGGGTTGGGAGTAAGGCGGTGGATGGTTCTGACTCTGAGGATTGCTTCACACCCTGACCCCTTCCCCAAGCAGTACTGCAGACTTGGCCAATCGTCCAGAAAGATGAGCTTCGAAATTCCGAGCCAATCCGAGTTCGTGCTGAAGCAGAAAGTGATGCGGGTTTCCTTTGGTCCAGCTTCAAGAACGCATGGACAAATACTCTATGAGTCGCACGAAAACACGTGGGATGCGGAAGGATGCTGGCACAAGGATGGGTGACTTCCCTTGCCAGATGTTGGTTTGTGATTAAATCACCACTCAACGCCTCACAACGATTCACATGGCAAACCAAAAAGACGGGTTCACGGCAGTGGTCCCCTTTCACCGGCCAGAGATGCCGAGGGCTTGCCGAGGAGTGGATGACATGAGTGGTTGGGTGACCATCCTTCACCCAGCAGTGATGGCCTCCACCTAGTATCGATGTGGGTGTGTTCCACCCAACTGTTGTTCCATTGCTCAGCAGGGCTCGTTGGTCTTCGTCCACAAGAGCGTCCCTCGTGCTCACGCGTGATCGCAGGTGATCGCAGGTTCCCGATGATCTCACTGTGATGTCACTCTCTTGAATGTGGCAGGTGTAACCTCCCCAGGCTATGCCTTGCAGGACCTGATCATCTATGAGGCCAGCTTCGGGGAAGGATGCTCTTGGGGAAAGGAGTGGCAGGAAGATCAGGAAGCAATGGGACTCTGCGTTCTTGGAAGGCAATCCTGGTTGAAAGATGTTGAAGGTGTGTATTCATGAACGTCCAGGTGTTCTTTGGTCATCCAGGAGGGTGGAGTGTTCTGCAAGAACACGAAGCCTATGCAAGAAGAAGCCATTCCGGTCCACTGCTGATCGCTTTCGCAAGACGGACACGAGTCGCTCAAACAACCAGGCCCACGTGAGAAGTTTCACCAAGAACAAAGACAGCGGGGTCAAGGCACCAGGGACTTTCCTGGGCTTCATCGAAGCTTTCCTCGGAAAGAGCTGGGGCATGGGGCGTGGAGCATGACCTGGAGGAGAGAAAGACGATGCATTTGCCGTGGGGTAGGTCCCGGATTGCAACAACTGTGGGTAGAAATATGTCTTGGGTTTTCTCGATTGGTCTTTGTTTAAGTTTGTGTTTGCTCGTCATGGCATGTGTGAACATGCATTGGAATTGTGGACAGTAAAGGGGGCTGTGGAGAATTGGCTGACATTGCATGGATGTTCACTTGGTGGCTGGATGACATCCTCCGCGGTGTTTGCATGGACATACAGACATGATGTGTGCAGACATATCATGGCCGTATCTTGATCCGGAAAGTAGACAACATGCTTTTGGGAGGGACCTCTTGTCTTCAATAGCTGCTCAAAAAGGCCTGGCGACTCAAGCTTTCGAAGGGAAAAGCAATGAAAGCCCGGATCATGGGACCTGTACCACGTACCGATGCCGTCCTTGCTGAAATTCCCCAGTTGCCGAAGCCATTCTCGCTCTGCTACTTGAGTGAGTCATGTCTCGCAGTCCAACGCGTAGAGAAAAGAACCAAGACCGGCTCCATGGAGCAATTTTGTTTTGCTCCATGGGTCCATGTGAGTTTTCAGCTGGGTGACATGCATGGAATGACTGCCATCAAGTTTTGAGGCAAACATCCATGTCATACCAGCCCGCATGCACTGCATGAGAACGCGCCAACGACGAGTGCTGGCAGCCCTCACATCCTTCCTGAAACGCCGAGGAAAAGATCCCGCACCTCCTCAACTTGGGCATCAACTGTCCTTCGCCTCAGAATTCGCGCTGAAGTGGTTGTCTCCAAGTTGCCAAGCTCCCATAGGAGCCTCCCAAGTTCCTATATAAATATTCTTTGGGCACTGATAACCACGTTCAAAGCATCCGCTTCAGCCCGACGGCTTATCGAGGCGTCGAGCTGCTGCCAATCTTCGAGTTCGATGAGTCACAGGTGCCATGGAAGCACCCCAAGACAGGGGAACACCTTTGCCCCTTGGCGAAATGGGGGTGTTCATGTCTTTCTTCCAGGCGGCACGTTGCTGATGGATCAAAGTGATATCAAGTGGCTGGTTTATGGAGCGCCCTGGGTGCAGAGGAAGACCTTTTCTTGTTGCAACCGTTTTCCGACAGAGAAGGGTTCCAATGTGCTGTTTTCTTATGGAAAGCAGCGGATGTCGACATCTCGTCCGTTGTCTTTGCCACAAAGATTCCGAATCCAAGGCGCTGCCCAGTGATGTTGCCGGTGAGTTGAATCCAAGAGTGAAGACTTGTGCTACACTCCCTGAAAGAATCAAAGTTACGTGGATGGGAAAATGGATGGCATCGCGTGAAATCCTCTATAAGAGGTGGTGAACTTATGTAATTTACTTTCATGATTATTTCAGAAGTGTAAGTCAGATTTTGTCAGCAGCATGGGGCGGTTACTCCATTGGTAAGGCCCGAAGGGATGGTTCTGGTTGGTTGGAAGTTTGTGTTGGGGTTTTGGTTGTCCGCGGACATGCTCAGGTCAGTACTGGGGCTACCAGACATGCTGCTTGGGCTACCATCTGTGATCGGTGGGGTTTCAGCCTTTGCATGGGCGATCGTCAAGGAAGCGGAGGAAGCGGTGGCTGTGATGAGAATCCCTATCAAGTCAGACGAAGCGAAGGGGATCGTCTGTAGGCACAGCGGGAGAAGAACACCGATGGGATTTTGTTGGTCTCGGCCCCGTGCCCTTGGTCTCGGCCCTGTGCCCTTGGTCTCGGCCCTGTGCCCTTGAGACTATCTATGTCCTTTAAAAATACTTCCCCATGGCTGCGGGTCAAAATGGAAATGTCTTGACCCCCAAATCCGCTTCACACTGTAGAACCCCCAAGGAGACGCGGAGAAACCAACAGAATCCTGGTAAACCCTCGTAAAATGGGTGGCTGGTTGACCATGTTTGGTGGGGCGTCCATTTGGGAGCTGCATTCGGTTTGTTCGGTGTCGGGTGTCGGAGCTGGCCCTCTATAAGGAGAAGTGTCACATGTTTATAGATGGGCCAGCTGGGGATGGACAGGGACCAATGGACGCGAGCTCCAAACAGTATAGTTATACACTCAATGTGTTGTCAAACATTCACCAACCCGGACAACCACCGGACAAGGATCAAAAAGGTGCCAAAGCCCTCTGAGTATGATTGTCATAAGAAGTACTCGGTCCAATTCCCATTTCCTTAGGGACGACACCTGTATTTCGAAGACGCTCCAAACAGCCCTTGGGATGGGGATTGTTGCGACCCCAGAGCTTTGCGCGTGGCATATAGGCATATAGGCTTGTGCCCCTACTTCAAACGGATCCATGGTCGCAGGATGCAACCATTGAAACCCAATGATTCCTGTCACGTCCGCTTGGAAGCAACATGAAGCAACATGAAGCAGTCTGTCGTCACTGGGAGGTTCTTACAACACGCCCATGCAGCGCTTCGCCGTGGGATCCACCAAGAATCCGTGGGCTGCCATTGTTGGGTGCCCCAGATCTGATCGGAGCCCGTTTTATTTGGGAGCCCGTGCATCCGAGAGCAGGACTGGATGCGGTTGAATGAAAGAAAAGCACCCAACTGTGGGTCTGGAATGGTCTGGAGATATAGAACATGGTTAAAAGCCATTCTGGAACGGGGGGAAGTTATTCATCAATAGTCATCAACAGTATTACAGGAAGGATCTGGGGCTTATTGATGCCTGGGCGCGCTGAATTGATTGATGCGGATCTGGCTACCCAGAAGTGCACATGCAGAGGAGTTGCCTTGAAAAGGGTGAATTTGACAGGCTCCTGCCACAGTGCTGGGTGTGGAGTGCACCACGACATGAGTATAATACCCCAAGGACCTGAGTCTAATTGAAAGTTCAGAATCTGAGGGGCTCCGTAAGCTACCAGCAAACAACATCTAAAGCCAAATGTGCATTGTAACCTACTCGTACCATGAATGCTGTGGCTAGAAGATCTGGGTCTCACGTGATGAAACTGCAGCCACATGATGAAACTGCCACACGGTTTTGACCTGCAGACCCTTGGTATGACTGGCCATGGCTGTCCAGTCCATTTGTTTCTCCCTTCGAACCCGGCGGCCCTAATCCGGGACGGCCGCCCGTCCCTGTCCGACGTCGCGGGAGCGACGTCGCGGCCGTCCGTTCGACGAGGTGGAGTTCAAGACGTTGGTGCGGGAGCTCCACCGAAATGGCATCGAGGCGTTTGGGGGGGGGGGGGGGTGGGGGGGCCCAAGGAACGCCGAGCGGGGGGGGCTCCGCTTCTTCTTTGGGCGGGTGAGTTGAGGCGGTCTACCTTGGGGGCGTGGAGCAGCAGACGGGGCGTAGGGGGCGATGGGGATTCTGAAGGTTGTGCAAGGTCTAATCAGTGAAGCAGTGAGTGAGTACGCACGACTTGTGATGTTTCGTGTTTGTTTGTGCCCAAAAATGTTGCATGGTATTGTTTTCTTCAGAGGGCTTAATGGACTTGCGTGGGTTTGGAGTGAAGACTAGAAGCTGGAGAGACCAAGCTAGTTGAATCTGAAGATTCTCAAGCTTTGGCAGTAGATCAGCGCTAGAATCTAGAATCTAGAAGATACTTGCTATAACGGAGTTGTGAACTGCAAGTGCGCAAAGAATGTGGTCCAGGTCCGTGCTGTTTTGAACAGCTCGTTTTTGGGACAGGTCACTCAGCCGATTGGGAGTGCACACGCAGGAGGTTCAAGCTACACACTTGGGTCATCGTATTGAACTGCATGTAAGGGTACAGCCTGCACAAGGAATGCGCGTCCTTCGCCCAGAGGTCTGGGATTTAAAGTCATACTAAACGCATCCAACCAAAACGCTAAAGAATGGATAGCTAGATATAGCTAGTAATTAGTACGAAATCTCTTCTTATAAAGACCATTGAAGTGGCGCAGGTTGTCTTAGATGTGGTCTTCAACCACACTGGAGAGGGCGCTTGGGGCGTCAGCAACTGGAATTGCCTGGCCAAAGTGGCCGTCAGTGGCTGGGATGTTTGACTGGGGGGACACTGGCATCAAGTCTTATCCAAAGTCCACATGGAACATGATTGTCTTCTAGATGGAAAATAGATGGAAACCGTAGACCCTTCATACACTTGATCACAATGCAAAATAGACCCTTCAAGCATGATGGTCCTCTTGTATTCCGTAGGTTAAACCCACTTCTATGCTTGTCGGACAGAGAGAGAGAGAGAGAACGTAACCAAAACATGGAACATGGAGCTTCGGACTCGACCATTAGTAGATTTAGTAGGATGCCTCAAAGCCACTGTCAAGTAGAGAACATCCACCACCATCGGACCCTTTTCAGCCTTCGGCTGCACTCCCAATCGATGTTTAAAGACAACCTCGTCTAAAGAAATGATGCGTTCAAATGAGAACTAGAACCTTCATGCTGGACCCTGTAAGATGTCGGACATCAGCAGGTCGCTGACTGTCGGGCCATGTATGCCATGTACGCCAATCCGGCAACCTTCAATTTCTCAGGGACAGCTTTGCAACCCGAAAGCACGGCGAAGCAGTGCTGAGGGCTAGGTGAAAACCCCATACTTTGGTGCCTTTTGTGGCTGTTCTTTTCGGTTTGGTGCCCCCAAACGTGTCGGCGATGTCGGCCAAGTCCGTCTTCTTCGAGTCCTGTGTGTCTGGTGTAAAACCGAGGAGCGATTGGCATCGCTATCTCCACCTCGCAGGGTTTAGCCGTTTCGCCAGGGCTGGATGGTGCATACAACACTTGGATGTTGTTCACTCAAAGGCTGAAGCAAGGGAGTCCGGAAGGATCAGTACGGATTCACATGGTCTAGCGCTGTCCATGGTCTACGGGCATCAGGATGGTCAAGATTGGAAGGGGGTCCGTGACCTGCGCGGCTCTTTCCGAGACCACTACTACCTCATGTCGAATGGCTACCACACGAACTACACCGGCTGTGGGAACACTTTGCCACACGTTTGCACGTGCTGAACCGCTGGGTTCAGGGCTTGGTAGCCAAATCTACACCAGAGCGACCCATCGGTGAGTCCAACTTGCCCAGTCATCCCAGACCATCCATGTCTGGAATACTTACACATGACTTCACACATCTTAACACCCTTACAAACCACGTCATTCGACAACCCACGAGCTCCGAACCGAGCTCCGAACCCACGAGCCATGCCTCTTCCGGTCACCAGGTGGGGTTCATGGGTTCGGTGCCGGTTTCGACGGGAGGTCGAAGCAGGTGGGACGTGTCGGTCTCTTTCGTCAGAAGAAGGATAGATGGCTTTAGACCCAAAAGTCAGTGGAGTTGGGCGGAGTTTTGTTGAGGACAAGTCCATTGGATTGGCTTGGTTTATATATGTAATATATATATATATATATTTTTCTCGGACCTTTTCAGTCTGCTTCGTCAGATGACCGTTTTGGCCGAAACACGGGTGGCAGAGTAGTCTGCTTCTGCACCTCGCGAGTGCATGGCCGCTGCAAAGGCCGGCTGGCTTGCCAGTCTTCTTTGAGCAGGGCATGTCCGTTGCAGTGCTGGCAGTAGACTTTATTGCCTTTCCTCCACATGATGTGCGTGGGACTGCCCGTCCACCGTGGATGTGGTTGCCACGGTCCATACCAACATGGTCCTTCATGGAGCTGCTGGATTTTCTCTCTGGCTGAGTTCCTCAGAACCCTGGCGCTGCACTTCTGGCACACAATGTAGTTGGCCTGCAGGGTGAACAGGTGACCATCTACCGAGTTCTCCGCGAGGATTCTGGTGATGTAGTCCTGTTTCGACTCCAAAGGTGCTTCTCCTCTGGTGAGGGGAATGCCGCTGGCCACATGCCTCATCTTTGGCTGTTTTCAACACTGCCATGGGCATCCGTTGATGGATTTGCTTCTTGCAATTCCGGCACTGTAGTCCTCGGCCCTTGGAGGTCCATTGGTGTCCCCTTTCATGACCTGTGACTCCAATCTCCAGATAAAGATGTTTCTTCTCTTCACGTGCTTCTTGTCGTTGTTCTTTGCCCGTGGCCTTCTTACCATGTAGGAAATGATCTTGGGTCTCCAGGAGGAAGCGGATGCGAGCAGCTGCCATTGGCGCGTATTGGCCATACCGCTGATCCTGCTCTTGCAGCTCTTGTTCAATAGCAACTGGTTGCTTTGAAAGTGCGAACTCTTTTGCTGCCCGATTTGCATCCTTGAACCTGTTGCGTAACGACAGGCCTGTGCTTGGCATGGTTTTGATCTGCTGCTGGGTCACGCTCAAAGCCCTGATGCGCTGCCGCTGATCCCATGTCACCAGCTCGGCTAAGTCATAGAAGGTCTCATGGTGACGTCCTTTGACCCAGCCTTGCCATGCTTTGACTGAAAGTACATGCACCCTCACCATAGACTGCAAATCCACATAATGGGCGATCATGCGGAGGCCGTAGTACCAGGCACGGGCTACCGTCTGTTTGCCTGGTAGCACTGTGCTGATGGCCCCAATGCGGTACATTTCTCCGGCAAAGAGGGTGTGATGTAGAAGCGTGACCACGTAGTACTTGAGCCGGCTGTCGCTGCTTGTGGTTGAGATCCCTATCGTGATGGCATCATGAGGTTGGAGGGTGATCTCATCCAACCCCGTCCAGGAGCCAAAACTCCCTGTTGATTCCTTGCTCCAACTCTGTTGCCACTTCACCTGGTAGTGGTGGGAAATGACGATTTGTCTCTTTGCATTGCCAAAGCAAATGAATTGCATCAGCTGCACAGCTGCAATGTGGGCATTGGAGGTGTTTGCCTTCTTGCCCATCCGCCATCTTGGTGAATATTGCCCCTTGGTGCCAAGTTTGCAACGCTGTGCGGACCTTGGTGTTGGATTGCTTGTCCAATCTTCTCCAAGGAAGCCAGTCCAGATGATTCTGTACTTCTTGTAGGTCATGCCTCTTCTGGATGTTCTGAGTGCGTTCACATCGTTGGGCACGTCGGAGTTCCTCCACCAGGTAGTACCAGCTGGACTTCATGTTGAGGGTATACTCATCCTCCCCATTGTGGCCAGGCTTCGTCCAGAGGTCGTAGGTGTCGGTGTTCCACCCATGGTCATGGAGGTAACAGATCAAGGCTGCTACTGGTCCTCGGGCGACTTGCCACGGATGTTTTGCCTGCTGGAGCCTCTCTTTTGTGACTTTCCAAGCTTTCTCCATGTCTCTTTGGAGGTGTTCCGGCCAGTTGCCATAGAACCGGTGGTAGACCTTGATCTGCTCCACGAAGGCCTCATAGGCTGGATCCTTGTGCCGTGGTTGCATATCGTACAGGATGTCGAGGTTCCCCCGTACGTTGCAGGCCCATTTGCCTGCCCATTGCTGCTTTGAGCTTTTACCGGATCTGTGGTGCCAAACCCATTGCCTGGTGTCCCCAACTTATGCCTGCTTGTATGCTGCCCTTGTAGAGGCGGAGTCGAACTGCCCTTTGAGGTATCTTCAGGATGTTCATTTTCTTGGTTTTGCCTCCTGCTCTCTTCCGGCGTTGTTTCATCGTTTTGATGCGTCTCAATCTGCTGGCAGTGCAGTCCACCCCCATGTAATATATATATATATATGTGTTTTCAATATATATATATATAGGAATTCGACCGGAAATCATGGTGATTCGCCTCCAGTCTGGGTTTCCTGCAGATGTTCCCTTACAAACCACTTTTGGGGGAAAATCAACCGAGACGACCCTTCAGAGACAAGCCCAAATCCAGTCAGGACGGGTTCGCAGAGGGTCTGGACGGTTCGCATTGGTCTGGGGTCTGGACGGTTCGACTGTTCGTCTGGATGGGGTGACCTCACTCGAGGCATGCCAACAATCCCAATTGCACCGAGTGGATCATCGATTGTTTGCGATACTGGGCTTTGGACATGCACGCTACCTGGCTGAGAGACCACGGGCTGGGATATGGGCAAAGCTGCTTGGGGTGTGTTTAGGCACAGAAGCAAGACAAGCTGTTGGTTGTTTTCCTTCGAGCATCAACACCGAATCTTGCAACGGTTCGGAAGTTTGTGCTGCGATCGTAAGTCCAGTTCTTGTTCTGGAACAAGTCAATAGAATAATTCTGAAGGTTTGAGCAGAGCAAGAAGATTTCCAAGCAGCTACGAGTCTTGACAGATTTTTTTCAAAAGGATACACCACCCGCCATGAGCCCTGCGATTGCAAGGTCACATGAAGGAAACGTCAAAAGGACTGCAAATACATGCAAATACCATGATGTGAAATTTTTCTCTCCAGTGGCCCTGAGGGAAGCGTCAACAGTACCGCACATTGGCCCTGCGAAGCATTTTTTCAAGCGTGTGCCAACTACTTTGGCCTGTGGGTCACTGTCTTAGCCCTTGCAATTTTGTAGGGAGAAGGTGATGTGTTCAACACAGTTATGTAGGTGCTAGGAGGGCCAATTACCTTGTGAGAAGGTACGACTGGATCCCTAGCTAGGGATTGCAAAGAAACATCTCATTCCCGGGAAACGTGGGTGACAAGAGGATCTCGTGGGTTCTCCTCTTCAGTGTTTCAGCGTTCTTCTCTGAGGATCAAGCAGACTGTGGGTTCGACAATTCAACTTACCATGGCCTTCATTTTCAGGTAGATCACAACCACTTCTAGGGTATGTACTGCCGGCTTGTTGTTACATCATCAAAGGAAAATGGAACTTTGGAGGATGGGCAAACTGAAAATCCACGCCCACGTGGTCGCCCATCCGTTGTTTTTCACGCGGCCCGTTGGACCCCTCTCCACCCACGGGAGCCTTCGCCCTCGCTGTGTGTGTCACGCCCGCGCTGCAGGTGGACGGTTTTCGTTTTGACCTCGCATCATCTTTGACGAGAGGAAGTCACTTGGATTCCATGTGTGTAGTGATGTGCACTTCGCCAAAGCAAGAGAGATGTTCTGATATAATGGCGAGACGTTTGCTTGGGGTGTACATTCAGCAGAAGAGCATTCAGTTACTGTACATCATTAGTCATCCAAGAAATTCTCTGAAATAATGACATAGATTGCATAGAACCACATCGATCGTCACATACTAAGCAACTGACAACAGCATACTATAACAGTTTGGTAATGTGCAGTCATTGGCATGCCAAACACAGAACCCAAAGGGGATAGCACCGACACTGGTCACCACCGAAAGCTGCAAGCAGCCGTGGATTCTTTGTGCTCTCGGCGAGGATCGTTGATGCTTTTTTCGTCGATTTGCTTAGCCAGAACGTGGCAGGGAAGCACTAGAAGTACTAGAGGCCATCCTGAGCATCAAGCGGGCGGAAGATTAGGTCATGGATGTTTTTAAGATAGAAGAACACAGTGAGCAAACTCATTCTGGTACAGGTACTGCCTCATAATGAGATCCAGTGGTATGTTCATTGACTTAGCCAGGTGGTTTCAGCATACGCATGGTTGGCTGGACAACCCCCAAAAATACCCTTGAGTGTTCATCTCACCTTACCGAACCAATTGGTGTACTCAATCTTCACGGTTGGCGGTTTGATGTGGTTGGTCTATCTGCTTGCTGCGTTCGTGGTGGTTCTTGGGAAGTCATCGAGCTTATCAAGCCCCAGCACCCAGCGCTGTCCCGAAAGGTTTGGGGAGCGCTGTCCTAAAGATCGACGGTCATCCATGTTGGGACAGATTTGGTGAGTCCAAGCTGACACTGGGCAATTGTTTGTTGGGGTTGAGCTATCCAGGCTATCTACCAAACGAACTTTTGAATGGTGTATCATTAATCGTAATATCCTGAAAGCTTTGGATTCATCAGAAAGGCATGATCGGAATGGAAGAACCAAAGTTGTTCGAAATCGTGACCAGCAAGTGGTAGTTTGGGCCATGATTCTCCTCACAAAGTAGCGTGTTGAGATGGCATCAGAACATGCCTTTCCAAGGTGATGGTCAATGCATGCCGGAGCGCTTTGTGTGCTTTTTGCGGCTGTGGGATTTGAAATGTTCTTCAAAAGGTTTGGTGGGAGGGGGTCCAGCAATGTGCATGTTCTTGGGGGCTTGTTGTGAAAGAACTCATGGGATGCCCAACTCAAATTACGCTTCATATCACTTCATGACAGAATCATAGAGTTCGTTGGTTCTTAAGCAGCGGTGTTATGTTTGTTGCAGGCATCACAGTGTGTCATGAACATACTTGCCATCGTAGAAATTGCTGCCATCCACCATGGGCTCAGCCCCAAAGATGCAGCGGAAAGGAGCCACCCTTCATCCGCCGCTTGGTGAGCGACCCTTGCCTCCAACACGTGAAGCTCATTGCAGAGCCATGGGATTGCGCTTGGCCCGATGGCCCCGTGGCAGTGTTGGGCATGGGGTTTTGTTCTGACCCTATACAGCTATAGATCTTAGATAGACAAGTCAGTGGTAATGTCGTAATCTTTTCATGGCTCGAAATAAAGCTTTCTATTTTTGTTGCGGATTGAAGGCGCCACGCTGCCACGGAATTCGGACTTTGTTCATGGTTTTTGTGGAAGATGTGACAATTGAATGGTTAGAATTATGTTTTTTTTAATACATGGTCCATGGTGGTTATATTCCGTTTGTTTAGACACAATTGAGCAGCTGCACACAATTGAGCCCGTTTGGAGCCAGTCCATCAATCGGCGATACGTATCAGCAACATCTATTGGGTTGATGAACAGAATCTCCAAAAAGGTTCCACGTCCAAGATGTCAAATATTGCCCAAATTAATCCCAAAATCATGATTGCTGGACCTGTATCGGTCATTGCTTCACCCCTTTGGTTCGCCCCAACCTTGGGGGAGCTCTCGAGCTATGCCGCTCCCACACCTCCTCGATTCCAGCGGCGTCGGGTCTCCTGGTCACAGTCCGCCGTTGCTCCCGAGGCTACTTAGTCGGCCAATTCCCCAGCGGTGATGGCAACCCTCGCTGGGCCGAGTGGAACGGCAAGCACGGGAGCTGAGAAACGGGACACGACGGTAGAGGCCGAACGGAGGGACGGTGAAGCCAATCCCAGGGTATCACCCGGCTCAAGTGTAGATCAGACGGATTCGAGTTTGGACGAAGAGGATGAGCAGTAGTGTGCAACGGTTCCTTTTGCTCCTTTTGGTTGACAATGGTTGACCATTAGGAAGATGAAAGAAGATCGTTGGACGGACGAGGCGTTCGCTTCTCCAAAAGTTGTCCAAGTCTGTGCCCTTTCTATATTAGTTCTGAACCTTGTTTGTGTGATCAGCTCTGCTCACGCCGAGCTTGGCTCCGGACGTGCGGTCCTGAGGTTCCGTGATGCGGTACGGGGCTTCATCAAGGGCGATCCCAACATGAAGGGCGAGTGCCTAGGCGGCACAAAGGTGCGTGGCACCCAGCCGGGGGGTGGACGTGGTGTCAACCTAGGGCTGAGCCTGGATGAGCAGCATGTCATTGAATTAGTGTGCATTGATGTGATATGTTCCTTTTTGAGGGAAGAGCAAGTGAACAGGTAGAGTTCTTTGAGTGCAATGTTGAAGGGCTCCTCTCAGGGGTACGGAGTGCCATGACCTGCCTCCAAGAATTGCTGTTGAACGAATTCCTGCAGGCTGCCGGAGTCATCAATAGCATCAGAACTCGGTGCACGAGTTCGGTTCTCCCAAGAGTAGGTGCGTCAGACATCGTCAGACTGTCAGCGCGCCTCCCGCGTGACCAGGTTTGCCACCCGCGTGTGTGGCAGCGCTGACCTCTACGAGCCGGATGGCCGTGGGCCATGCCATTCCATCAACTTCATCACAGCGCATGATGGCTTCACCCTCCGCCGCTGGGCATAGACAAAACCAATGCGACGGGGTTTGGGCTCGTTGGTTTTAATTTAATCATGTCACCTGGTAGTCAGACTGACTAATTTTTTCTGGTCGACCTTCCGTTTGTTTTTTTTTGGGTTTCACGTGGGCATTCTTCAGTCGTTCCTGTGGTCTGGAGATTGTGTTTCGCAGCCAGCTGCGACTGGTGTTGGGCAGCTGGAATGAGCATCTAGCTTGCCAGCCCAGCATGGCCCATCCTCGTTGGAATAAACACGGCAGTGGCAAACCTTGAAAACCAATTATTTGTAGAACTTCAAAAAAAAGGTCGTCCAAGGGGCAATTTTCCACTTCCATGATGGTTCCAGGGGAGTGTAGCACAAGTGTCCGCCTTCTTGTGAGCGCGTTCTTGCTGGGCTGTGAGAGGAATGGTCCGCCTTTCCTTCGGTGGTGGGGACGGTCGTGATGGGACGGTGATGCTTCGAGAGGAGAGCTCCACAGGGGACTCCGACGGCGCCTGCCTTTGGGGGCTTCAGAAAGATGAGGGTGCCGAGTTCGTTGGAGAACTTGTATTTGGTCACATGTATTACATCAACTTGGAGTGAACTTTGGAGTTTCGGGATGTTTTGGGTATGTATATATATTACCACGGACAAACACATGTTGTCAATTTTGTGTCAATGCCAATCTCTCAAAAAGAGGTGCTTGGAACAGCTTTGCCACGGTCTTCTAAGAAAGGTGTTTTGCTCGTGGGCCATCCCTCGTAATGGTCAAGTGACCCAGACAGCACCTCAAGCGGTAAACCAAGACGTACAGAGGTCGACGTGTGCCTCTGTTCACGGATCGCAAGGTTTGGGGAAGAAACATGGTACATGAAGGAATATCCCGCGTCACATCTGGCTAAATCGCAAGTTAAGATGTTGAAAGGAAAGTATATGGTTATATTATATGATGATTATATATGATGTTCCATGTTGCCATATGTTGAACTAACAATAACAAGTTTCAAGGCTTTGCAAGTGATCCTTTTAGGAAACTTTAGCAGCAGTCCATGTTCAGCACTCCAATGTCATCATGTCAAGGGCAATCAAGCCTTTTTCATGACGCTGATTGCTAAGGTGACTTGGTCTCCTACAACAAGAAGCACAACCATTTGAACAACGAAGAGAGCGGTGAAGACAACAACATCTCATGGAACTGTGGCGAAGAAAATGATGAAGGCCTGACCTGACCCCATTTGGGCTGGGTTACTTTGAGTCCAGAGCAGGTTGCGTATCTGCCACGTGTCAGCAACCTGACATCGATGAGTCGTGTTGGTACTGCCGGAAGCTGCTTGGAGGTGCCCAGGGTTCGTCATGTTGAGGACAGACCTCCTCAGCGTTGGTGTTTTTTTGGTGGGTGGCTTCCAGCAGCTGACTGTGTACGTTCTTTCGGAGGTCGTTGGAGCCCCAACACTTCCAGGATTGAAAGGCTTTGACTTTCTCTACTGCACTGGGTGGTCTCTTCGTTTGAAAAGTGCATGTGTTGCAAGAGAGAAACAGGGTAAACCAGCATCCTAGCGCGTATACCAAAAGATGCACGCCTCAAACATGGCCAGCAAATAGCAACGACCAAGCTGGTCGTCCTAGATGCCCAATGGCCCAGTTCAAGTTCCCGTTGACAGACCGCTGGCTTTCTCCACCTGTCCCGGTCACCCCGTTCGGCGGTTCCTGCGGCAAAAAACAGGGCCTAGCAAGAAGAAAGACATCATGAAATTGCGCGATCAGCAGATGCTGGGCTGATCTGAAGATGTGGGGCCCAATGTGGGGGGTTGGTGTGTTTTTGAGCTCGAAGATGCAGGAGAGGGAATGCTGTGAAATATTTGCGGGTTGTGGGCTCAAACTGAGGGCTTTCAAGAAGCTGGTGGCGAACCCTAGTTTGCTTCAAGCTTTGTCCGACTTGGATGATCTTGGATGTTCCGTACGTAACAAAACAAACATTGAACCTGATGATAAGTAAGTAGAGATGATTCGCTTCAACTCCAGCCAACTCCTCCCCAGAGTTCTGGGCGGATGCGGGCGACCCACCCAGTTTACCCTCCCAAAGCCATCCAAACAAAGCCTAGAAATATTCCCTGAAACAATCATGGAAGTGGAATACAGCCTGTTCGTAGAGCAAAAAAGTGTTCCAAGGGGCCATGTTCCACTTCCATGTTTGTTGGATGTTGGAGGGCATCAACTTGCCCATCAGGAACATCCACACACTAGCAGCACTAGCAAACACCATGGTTTGTAGGCTTTGCATGGTTGGTATTTTGCTCCTCATTCGAATAGTGAATACTGTCTTCAAGAGCCATAGAATAGAATTGTTTTCCTGAATACTGCCATTCAATGGCCATATTCAAGAGATATGATGCAGGCCAATTGTCCTGGGTTTTATTCGAAACTGCTGAACGTCGTCGAGGATGCGGAACATGATCCTGGCGCTCTTCTTGTCTGCGGGAACGCCCATGGTCACCTCCGGTGACGAGCTACTTGACGTCGGTCGTCGGTGCTTCACACTGGGACGGTGAAAGATGGGCCATGTTGGCCTTGCCATGGGCCATGTGCGGGTTTGACAGACACAACATGGTAGACTCCGCTGGAATTCACGTGGAACATGGCCCCGAAAGGAAGACCATGTTCCTCTACAAACAGGGGTTTTCCACTTCCATCTTAGGGAGTGTAAATCGTGAGATGTTACTTGTACTTTGCTGGGGGCCAGAAAATTGGCTATGGTAGCTTGCAAGGTGTACTGCCGCTGGCCTTCCTTGGTGTCTGGAGGGTCTAAGCTCATATTCCATGGCGAATGGCTTAGGGCTAATACCTTACCAAGCTTTTGTGATCGACTTGAGATGTCACTGTTGGAAACAATTGTGCTTTGATTCGATTGGGACACTGTAGGGAACACCTGTAGGGAACACCAGCACTGAGCAGAAACACTATATGCAAAGAGCAAAGCATGTGTTCCCGGCGTCAGTTCACAGCTGGCACATGGGTCTAGAAGATGGCAACTTCTGAGGCAACCTTGGTTGCTCACACATGTCATCACATGTCATCATCATACCACACGAAGATACAAAGCATAGAGATTGAGAATGTCCGGGTCTCCCACACTTCGATCTTCTTTCGGGATCCCTTTGGCTCCAAGACGCTTCGAAACGACCGGCTGAAAGCGGGAGCCGGTCGACGGCCCCAGACCGGGTCTTCCACCGCCCTTGTTCCCGAGGTATGGCCGCAGCCAAGGAGCCGTGGATGGGGCGGTGGAATGGGAGGTTTTTTGTTGCGTTTTTGGAGGAGTCCGCTCCTTTTGGTGCAACACGGACGTACTACACGGATTACTAATGGAGTTGGGGAGTTCTGACCTAGCTGAGGGGTCAGTGCTGAATTGTTGGGTCCTGAATCTGGATGGTTGTTTGTTGTGCGTGTATATCAAGGAACAGAAGTTCAAAGTTCAAAGAACCAACTCTTGTTTTAGGCGGGTCTAAAGTGAAAAATCATGTGATTGCCCCACCAGTTGGTGAAACTAAGGATCACCCACCAGGAAAGACAAATGAAAGGAAGACTTGCATGGATGTGTGTTTCTGGTAAGTGAAGAAACAAATTGCGCACATTGGAAGAGATCATACAGTAGATACATCATGATACATCCATGTTTGCAGGGATTAACCGACGTGCAAGATGTGATGTTTCCTTTGCCCAGGAGGCAACAACAACACCTGGTGCCAGGATGAGTTGAACTGGTTCTCTTGGGCCGACTGTGCCAAGGCGAGGTCCAAACCTCGCTGAGGTCCAAACCTCGCAAGGACCAGCTAACGACAGCACAAGGCCCCTGTCAGACAGTTTGATATAGATCCCCTGGATATCCCTGGATCTCAGCAAGAAATCGAACGTGCAACCTGTTCTCGAAGTGATAGGGACGACCTGGACGATATAACATGTACAATTTGGCAGTTCCGGTGATTTATGCCTTCAACAGTAGGATTCCTGACCATGTTCCATTCCAGTTCCTTGTGTACTGATTTGTACCTTTTGCATGTATGTGTTCCATTGTTTATGTAGGTGTCAACTGAACCAGCACTTCTTGCTGGGGATGCATGCGTCAAGCACTGGAGCTGTTCTTCCGCCGTGCCCAAACCCATTTTCAAACACCCACATGCTGCCTTCAAGACCAAAAAGATGAAGTGGAAAAAGTTCCGGGGGTAGAGTCGGGACATGTCGGGACTTACTTGTTGGAACTGTGACATAGGCCAACAGAGCATAAAAAGGCTATCTATATGATTCTATTCTATACAAACAAGCCACTCACACTACGCCGGGTTGGGCGTGTTTTCCTCCTGGAGTCCAAGAGTACTCTTGCAAGTCTATATAAGTGGTTCCCTCATTCCCAACGGGTCTCGCCACCCTGGCCGCCATGTTCGGGAAAGAGGGACCTGGGTGACCTCGTCTCAGGAATCTGAAGGCCTGGTGCGCTTCTTCCGACTGGCGCTGGGCCTTCGCAAGCAGCACCGGGATGCTCGACGTATTAAGGGAGCGTTTTTGAGAACACGGGGGGGAGGCAGAGGCGGACGATGGATGACCCACACGATGTATGAATGTGACAGTACCATTTATTGACCTATACGTACATTGACATGCAACACATCCAAAAACCTCAAACCCTAAGAGGATAGGCAAATGATTCCATGTGTGTGTGTGTGGATTTTTGTTGGTGATGATCATTGTCTAAAGCAGGTGGGGTCTCAGAAACATCACCGAATGTTGGGCAGACAGTAGGTGACCCAATAATTTGGAGGCGCCCATGCCAAGAGGTTGTGATGTCAAGTAGAGAGATCGACTTCATTGCGGCACTGCTGAAAAATGTCCCAGATGATACTACCCCTGCAAAGTACACTTGAAGATAGAATGACCCTCTATAGAAGGGACTTGTAGATCTTGTAGCCAATTGTCTAGGGTACTTGGAGGTTTCAGGATATTTCTGGTACTGTAGCCATACCTGTTTTCTGACATGAGCTGCAGTGTGGATAGTGTGGCCAAGTTGGGCATCCCCAGTTGAAAAACCATGACGACAAGGGTTCATTAGTTTCGTTATAGATAGTTTGATCTTTGTGTTTACACTGTAAGAGCGTAGGTACTGTGGTCCATACTGAGGACTTGCTGGAGCGAACCACCTTCTTGACGAAGCTTGGAGCGCAAGAGACGTCGGTGCGAAAGAAAGATGCTTTGCTTATTACTGTCACTGTAATGTGGTTTTATGCAATTTTATACAAAATACTACAATCACTTTTTCAAATGCAGTATATTATTACAAGATGTTCTTGATGACCTTTCCGGCAAACATACGACCGCCTACAGGTCCAGACTGACCCAGTAAAACTTGGTCCTTTACCTTGTTGAGTCGTGTTTTTCTATGATCAGCTCCAGTACAATGAGGTCTGTTCCTGACCTGTAGTAGGCTGCAGGGATCAAGTAGCAGCACCACCATAGTATTTTGGGATGCTTCTCGGATGGTAAACCAATGGATGTTGACAGGGCACGGTCCAGAAATGTGCAGAAAGCCATTTGTGGGAGTCCTGCCATGTCGCCCATTGATTGTTTCAAGGGTTTGAATCCCAAAGAACCGGTCGCTCTTTGACGCAGGATTTGGAGTGATGGACTCAAAACCAGGTCTTCACAGCACTCTTTTTGGTCTTTGAAGGCTAGGGCTCCAAGAACGTGGACCCGAGACGACACGGGTGGTTGGGGGAACGTACTCGTACTCGTCCGATGTCGCGGTGGGTGTTGTTCGTCCGATGTCGTGGGGTTTTGGTCCGATTGGCCGCAGCTGGCATGGCATGGATTCGGTGGGGTGGAACGAAGGACACGGCAAACTGGGCTGAGCTGACGATCCCGAGACGGGCTGAGCATGCGGAAAGTTCTTTATGCTCGCCGACTCATCGACTAGGCTCTGAACGGCATAGCACATTTGGCTTGGAAGGCAAATGAGTCTTATGTGTATTTATGGTATTTTCATTTGGGATGAGCCACCAAGCCTAGCCTTGGCCCAAAACCAGTCGTTGGAGTGGGGGCATTGACGAGTCAGGGGGTCTTGATTGCCATCAGAGGCCTCCAGGCCTTGAGTGGAAAACCTCTCCTTCACCCGTCGTACCTGCATTCTCGAGGCACGAGACGATTCAGTGGAACCACGACGATTGGGAGTCGGACTACAACTTTATTTCCTACATCCTCCACCGTGGAGGCCCGACCTCTTGCCGCTCGAGCTCGGTCTGGGGGGTCTGTGGGCCGCCTGGGTGAAGGATGGGTGAGCCGCACGGCTCCGGGTGAGGAGCACGGTTCCGAGTGACTGGATCAACTGATAGACAAAACGTGTGTGGGATGCATTTCCCCACTAGAATAAGATGAACAGATGGAAAAGGTCAGAGATGAGGTGAGATGCCGCCTCAAGGAGGGCATGGATGGTAGAATCGATCAAAGAAGGTGAACCTGTATTTTCTGGGGAAGCGGTCAGCCGAGGTGGCCAAGGTGATGCCAAGTGTTGAGGTGTTTGTCGCCCACATCGCCATATTAGGTCTCCGACTCCCAAATCAGGGAGGGCGAACACACGTGTAACGCAGCAGTGCCAAAAAGAAACCTTAGGTTGGAGGCCATCGCTAGTAGGTTGGAGGCCATCGCCAATAGGAAAGATCGAAGGCACTGGAGACTCTGAGCAGAGGGGAACTTGATCTTGGCAAGCAAATGGTGCTTCCCATGCTTCAAGGGGGTAGTCTGATGCAGGCTGGTTCTTTCAAACAAGCCTAGGGCCTAGTGGTTCTCAGATGTGGCGGTTCTCAAATGTGGCAGGTTAAAATGAAAGTGTTTTTGTTTTCTAGAACATTCACTATTTGTCCTTTTTTGGGCCCACTTTATGACCATGTTAAATTCACGTGAACTGTCCACCTGTGCAACTTACAGGAGAACTGCTCCTACTGTATGACATGCTAAATCGTACTATGATAATCTATGATACGTTGATATCCGTGGTGTGGGTTTCACGAAAACAAGGCCAGTCTCAACTCTCCGAGCAATCCGAGCGATCAGGGCCGCGAGAATGAACAAATGCAATCTAACTGCCTTCTACCAGGACCTTCGAAGTTCTGTGGATTTGGGGACACCCCATCAACCATCCTTAACCTCTAAGAGGACACCTCCACTGCTCAACATGAGCCTTGGCTTGGACAGATGAGCCCACGTCGCGCTACAGACACCTCGAATGGAAAGTCCTTCGGACTTCTTTCTAGATCGTTTGCATGCTACTAGTACTTTTTGGACATTAACGAGGTAGCTAGAAAATGAGGTAAAACTACTAGAACATGAAGCTTCTTGTTACTAGTAGCGATGGCCTTCAACCTACTAGTGATGGCCTCCAACCTAGTAGTTTCTTGTGCCTAGTAGTAAGAATGCCTTTAGTAGTACGGCCAGGAGCCCCTATATCGTAGCGTCCGAACGCTCCGGACTCGAGTCGCGATGCGCAGGGGCCGAGACGGGCGAAGGCTCCGAGGGCGGCGAAGTCGCGGAGGCGGCGTCCGAGTGCGGCCAGGCGCGGTGCGCGCATCGCGGCACCGGAGGTTGCTCGGAGGGGTAGGAAGTCCCAGGAAGTCCCAGGGTTGAGGTTTTCGAATTTGTTGAGGTTTTACGATTGGTTGACGTTGTTTGGGTCTTTGAAACGGAACCATTGGGTTCTAGTGGTGCCTGAATTTTCTTGGGGATGGGATGGTTGATTGTTGGATGGGGATGAAGATTGCAAGAGGACGCAAGCTTCGAAGTGGCGCTTTGCATGTCCCTTGATCTCACGCTTCTGGAGAATCATCAGAAGCTACAGATCCAAAAGCTTGACTGTTGGATATCCAGTATCCAGTCAGTATCCAAATTCTACTAACACAAAATACACTTTCACAGTCCGTTAATCAAGCAAGAATCCACTGATCTCACGGATCAGTTTGACCGAATAAACCTTGCTACTCTAAATATTTACAGCTGTTTGACCAGATTCCGGTGCGTCAGAGCTGCGCGCGCTGGCGCTAGCAGCCGGCTGGCCGCGTTGCGTCCGTTTGGTTAATAGTATCGTAAGTATCAGGTGGTGCCCAGCTGCCATTCAGGGCGATCTCAGTGGCGATTCTGTGGTGAGATATTCTCATATAATATTCTCGCAAAGCACATGAGAGAGGTGAGACCCGAGACCTATAGGTGACCCTACATGGCAAATCATTCGGTTTCTGGAGCTTGAGGCTTCAGGCAGCTAGGTGTATCTCAAATGCAGAGGACCAAGGACCCAAAAAACTCCTCGACCAACTGATTGTTCGTTCCCTTTTTAAAGATGTCGTATGTTTGTTTGTTTTGTTCTTTTCTTAATGCTGAGACCAAAGCCCCATCGCCCAACTGAGTAGTGCCAGGTTTGGACTCAGTTTCTATCGGAACACTCTGACTGTTGACCCACGACAAATCGCGGACATCATTGGTCCAGGCTGGTAGCAGCCGTGACAGCACGGCAGCTGCCACCACCACCGAGAAGCAGCGCACCTGCGCTTTGCTCGTTGCACCTGGGCTTTAAAAGCTTAAGAAAAACCAGGCCGAAGCGCTCTCAGGAAAAGCACTTGGAATTGTCAGAGCGTGACCTGGAGTCTCACCTAGAGAAATGGTGGTTTAGGTAGATCATCAGATCATAGTAGATCTATATCTGTAAGTCAGGGTTTCTTTCTATGGGATAGAAGATCCGAAGACCATTGGCCTTGGTCTTCAAGATTGCAGCTGTCCGAGGCCTTCAACGCAGGGCATGTGGTGACTTGGCGCACAATCCCGCCACAAAGGGGAATCTCAACCTAGAGAGGTGGACAGGGCCCCTGTGGGCTGCAGGATGAAGGGTGGTAAGGCCGGGACCGTGCGCCGTAAACAGAAGGACAAGTGTTTTCCTACCGGTCTGAACTGTTTCACGCTTGCTGGTTCAACTTGGCCTTTCTTCCGCAATGCTTTCTCCGCTCACGAACGGAACACCATGGAACACCTGAATATCGAGGACACGGTCTGAAGCAAATGTTCGGGCGGGTTTTCAAACCGTTGATCCAATCCTTGATGGAAGCAATGTGCCCACGTGGTCAGGATGTGTGTGTGTGTGTGCGAAGTCGTAGCCTTTGAGGTGAGGCCATTCGAATAGCTGTCGTCCGTGCCAGTCGAATAGCTCACATGTGACTACAACCCAGACAATCCATGTATGCCATGTTTGCCTACATTGCAAATTGTATACAAATGTATGGCATATATTCCATACATTGAGTGTTTGGGCAAGTGTTCACCATTATGGTTCACTTTTCAGCTGTTCTTCATGCGATATCCCTCCTCTCTCCTGTATACCCTGTAGCAGGACGTACGTACACCGACTGGGCGTTGGTCACGAGGTGTTTCGCCAAGCAAGAGGCGTCCTTGTTCCTAGTAGTAAGGCCAGGAGCCCCTAGTAGCGTCTTTCCTCCTAGTAGCGATGCCCTTTGTTCCTAGTAGCGTCCTCTACCCTACCCCCTCTTGAGCCTTTCTTGTTTCGCCGAGGCCCACGATTGTCGCTTGCCCGCGGGGCGCGAGTGGTTCCGCATCGTCGACAGCAGCTTGCCATCCCCCCAGGAGCAGGGGAGCGAGCAGTCGAAGGGTGGAAGAGGGAGCCGAAGGACAAGGAAACTTCGCCAGGAGCTCCATTTGCGAGTGCCTATTGGAGGCTAGGGGTGTCATGACGTGTCCCTTATCCATCACTGGGGCTCCAACTACCTCCTGAGAAGGTGATCGGGGTAGGTTTGGAGGGTTTGACCACCTTCTCAGGATATGGTTGGAGCCCAAGGGCGTAAAGCAGGTCTCCTCAGAAAGGGGCGACGTCTTCAAGGGGTTGACTTGGCATTGGCTTGAGGCTTTCATTTTAGGTCTCTTAGATTAGATCAGACACAATCAGGTGGGCGCGCTGATTCAAGAACTTGAGGACCGACCCTCCGTTTCTTGATAGAAAGATTGCACACTGCACCCCATCCGCGGCAGCTTGGCTGCTTGACCCCTTGCACTTAGCCGGAGTTTTTGTAAACAAGCTTTCCACCCCATGACCATGATGACAGGCGAAACAAAGCTAACTTTGCTATGAATTGTCCGAAGTAGCACGCAGACTGCCCCAAGTCACTAGGATACTGCACTGCAACCTGCTTGTTGGTGGCGGAAGTGAGAATTTAAAGAACCAAACGCAGGGTGGCTGAAGATGACCATGGATTCTTGTGTGTCAAAGAGAATTGGTTTTGCAGGGGTCCCCGAACATGACCACCCTTGCATGTGTCCCCGAACTGAACTGGCCACCTCCACACTTCCAGATGACCTTGACCCATGGTCCAACTGAAGCTTCACATGTGGAGACCCACAGTGGCGGTTCAGCAGGCAGATTGATTTCAGCATGCAGGATATTTGCGAGTGTGATGAGGATGCCCAGGTCATCACGGGGGAGAGCTACGTCTCTTGCATCAAGAAACTGACTGGGTATGACTAGGTGCAAAATCAATTCATGTGCATGGGTTAAGTAACAGTATGATTGAATGTAGACTTGCAAAAGAAAGGAGGGGTGAGAAGCTTTGTTACGGCAATTAGAGGAATCGAGCAGAGAGGTCTCAGAAGCCGCAAGAGCTTTTCTGACAAAGACAGACCAGCTGCTTCGATGTCAACATACCCTAGAGATCCTCATGCACACTAGAAGATAGATGAAGATAGTATAGAAGTGTATATATACTGTAAGCAACAATGATGTTCTAACTTGAGGGTAGGGGTGCCCATTCTCAGCTCACTTAGGGTCAGCACCTTGTTCTGCACTTCTGCTTAGCAAGGCTTACATATTGGGAGACCCCCAGCATGGGAGACTTTCAGCTAGAGACTTTGTGGAAGAAACACCAGGATGAACTCCCAAGCACTGTTTGGGGAATATGCTCAAATTCACTCAGTAGATGTCCTCAATCCTATGCCAAACCCAGTTGGGATTCTCTCAAAATAAGGACCCTCCAACCCTCTCCAACCACTTGTTCTTCAACTTCTCGTACTATATGCAGTACTAGAGGTTTTGCTCAGTATCTCCCTTGGATCCTGAGGACTGACCGACCCTGGATTCCAGTATATTCAGTCTATTCCAGGCCCTCCAAACTCATCACTATGTTAACTGGAAGAATCTTCAAGAGCTCAGTTCGAATAAGAGCACCTCCGAGGTTCATGGCCACTTCCCAATGTGCCACTTCTCCCATGTGGTGCAACACCTT